ACTTGCTTTTTTCATTGACAGGATTACACCTGGCACCTTATAAAGTAAACTTATAACAAAAGCACAAGATTTATATCTACAATTCAAAGAGTTTCTAGAATTTTCAACTTCAGTGTTGATGTAATCATATTAAAAAATGACCTGGATTAAAAAAATAGTCATGTTTCACACAATCTTTTGTTAGATAAGAAGAGATAACCTAAGAAGTATTTTATATATAGAAACAAATGAGTGTTTCCATTTAAGATGTATTAATGAATTACCTTTTCATGTAAGAGTTTTACTTTATACAACTCTTGTGTAAAGTTCTAATTGGATCTCACAAAGTATGTATTAAGCATGAGTCCCAGCATTCTAAAATTCTAACATGGTATAACAATTGTTTTGAAACAAATGACTTCTCAAGACAGTAAGGTATTACTATCAATCACCAACAAGTTAATTCCATATAATAAGGCAGGTTTGGATGCAGACTGATCCATTGTGGAATGCTGTATCTAAAATTGATTACAACAGCACTCAAAATGAATGCAGCCCTCCAAACCACTTCTTTGCTCAGAAACATTAATCTCAATTAGAAGGAAAGCTTCATAATGGTAATGCTTGGTATGAAAAAAGTATGGAATAAATCAGGTTTTATAAGACACATCAATTAATCAGTTTTAGAACTAAGAAAGCTTCTTTAAGGCAAATTTTAAAAACCAGGACTGTTGAAAGCTCAGACATTTCCCAAACTTTCAAGTATTTGCTTGCTTAAAATTATGGAACATTTTCTTTTATATGATTCATATAAAACTTTTTTAAACAACATTATACCGTTGAGGCATCCTTTTTAAAATAATTTTTTAAAAAAATTCTGAATGCTTATGTGAAAAGCCTTCTCTGCAAGAAATAGCATTCAGGTTTAGAAAGCATCTAAGAGCACTGAATTTAAAGAATGATTTAAGGAACATATGTTTTTCCAAGGACAAGAGAGATTATCAGACTGCTCCTTCATAATGTTATCAACTTTAAAGCAAGTTAAAGTGAGTTCTGAGTCAAAATTATCTCATAATGCTTTTTAAATTATCTAATAAAAGCACATAAGATTATAAGCAGAGTATGAGTTTCCATGATAATAGGTCTCACTGCATATCTTCATGTACAACTGACTTCCACACCTGCCTCAGATAGAGAGAGAGGAAAGCCAATTTATTGTCACTGCTTTGTGCCATGATCCATAGAATTACAGAGCTGGAAAGTTGTATTTTTAAAAACCATACAATTCTTTCAAAGGGTAAAGATAATTTAAGAAAAAGGAAATATATATCCCAGATACAACCAGAATAAATGCTAATCAACTAACATATATATGGGCTTTATGAGGCTGCTGGTCTCAAACTTTTATCATAACGAAAGGGCTGATAAAGCTTTGTAATACAATGTATCACAAATATACTTCAGTATTTCTAAGTATACTTTTATATCAACTGCAATAATAATATTCTCTTTACATCCAATTCTAAGATGTTCTAATATTTCAGATATTTAATTTGGCTCCTAATTATAACTACATTCTCCTCTCTAATATGCTATTCGCTTGACTGTTTGCAGAGAGGATAATTACTACTGGCTCAAAGAGCTTAGCTGAAAGACTAGTTTGAACTTGCTAACTGGATTATGAATGCTAATCTGAGTTTCCTTTTCAAACAAATGTTAAACTACTCACTCTATTTAGGGAGATTCTGCTGTTCTTCCTTTTAGTTCTTCCTATTTTAGTTTCCACACAGAAAAAAAAAGTTCACTTTCCTCAACAGATACCCTGCTGCCACACCCTTAAAATCATGACAGGAAAAACTATATAATTTACTCAGACTAATAACTTGCTTGACATCACACATATTCAAAAAATTATTAATCATGTAACATTAATAAAAATTTAAGAATAATTACTATTCTGCTTTGGGTGTTCACTTTAAAAAAATCTGCAGCACCCAGAAAGGCCCCAAAATAATTCAGTTTCTCCTAAATACTGGGTACTGATATAGTATATACATACTGCTCCCCAACTGTAACTGCAATATGTTCCATAGATAGTGCAGAAATTGATTTGTCTTTCAAAACCTGAATAACAAAAATATTTAAGTTTCATATTCCTTACCTTCCAGGGAACTATTTTGGGTACTTAAAATGCTTAATATATTTCATTTATAATTTTGCATTGATGGCCCGAGGATTTAAATTTTACATAGGAATGAAACAAGGCTTTTAATGTCTACTCAATAAGAAAAGAAGAAACACAATCTTGGAAATACATTCTCTCACAAATTAATGCAATATATGTTCAGTTACTTAAATGAATTTAAAGATACTTCGTAAAATTTGCAAGTGACTTTTAACTATCAGACTTGGATATTTACAATACTTGGTGAGAGGAGTATTGTTACTGGACTATTTTCATTCCAACACCACAGATTAAATATTTTCTTTGCATCTCCAATCACTAATTTGGAACTTGGAAAACTCACAGAAGGGATTACATTAGGAGATATAGGGTAGGAAGATTTATATAATTAAAATTTTAATGAAGAGTGCACAAGGCTTAGTATATTTAAAGTATAATGCTTTTAAAACAATTTAGTTATTAAATTAGAATTATAGAAACTACAAGTACTCATTCACTAGACAGACCACAAATATTTAATATCCCTAGGTGAGCAAGGAAATATACAATGCTTCTAGACAAAGTTACTAAAATAATTAAACTAACCATATTTTAATTTAGCGTTCTTACAGTGTTACAGTATTTGACTTAAAAAAAATAACTGGAGTCTTCTAAAAGATGTCAGTCCTAATCATGCCTTTTTCTTTAGTAATAAAAGGGAAAAGTAGCACTTGAACATATATTGTAGTGAAAAGACCACCCAGTGGATCTTGCCAGTGTCTACAAATGTCTGACAAATACATTGTCAGAAGATAAGAAATATAGTGTTATGAAGGGACACTCTTATCCACAGAGATCACAGAGAGCTGGAGTTGTGTAAAGATGTGCCACAAGTCAAGCTAGGACAACAGCTTCCACTCTTACTCCCACTACACAATAAAAGTGCCTAAGTACTTTTATTTATCTTCAAAGCATTCTCTAACGACTTTATAAAACAAATGAGTTTGCTGTTATCAGAAAGGGATTTTTTTTCCGGTCCTTCACTCACAGTGGAATAAAATAGTCTGCAAGTCACCAACACAGCTACCTTGCAAGCGTGGCAGAAAGTAATAGGTGCTCAACCCACACAACCTAATGAGTTGAAGAATGATCAAGAGGAAAGACTCTTATAACTAAAGCCCATTCTAATTTGCTGGAGGGAAATATGATACTAAGCTAAGACACGGAACTTTTGACAGAAGGATGTGTAAACACACAGCCATTGTCAACTCAGTTTATTTGGTGCTGCTGGAGTAATTCACGGAGTTCCCCGATCAAGTTTCAACCACGAATTGCCACTTCTAATACCACCACCCCTTTCCAACCTGGCTTCCTTGGCAGTTTGGGAAGCATGTTCGGTACTTTCCCTGGAAACAGCAGACAGCCTTACGTTTCACGTATACAAGAAGCTCAGTACGATACTTCCAGAACAGACCTGGATGAATGAAGCAACAGCAGCACCGTGATGAAAAAATAGGGGTGTGAGTATGTGTGTGTGTTGGCTGGGGGAGATGACCACGATCAGAAAAAGACAGGACTAATAGTTCTCATTAAAAATCTAGCTTGTTGGGACAGACACTCTCCCCTCACGGTCGCCGGGTCTGTTGCCTCCTAAACAGGAGCTCAACGCCAAGCAGGATATCCAAGCCAGAACTGACAGGTAAAGTTCCACCTGAGAGCAGAGTGAGCAGAAGCGGAACAGGAGAGAACAAGGATGCCAGGAGGGGATCTAGCTTGGGAAAGAAAGCCCAGGAAGAGGCAGGCATGCCTCTTTACCTAGGAGCTTTGACAACTTGCTCGCTTCAGCCCTGCTCCGGGAAAGGGGAGATGATGGGAGCCCCTCTCTTAGAAGCGCTCGGAAGGCAATCGCTGAGCAGAAGCGGTGGCAGCGGCTGCGGAGACGGTTCCCCTCCCCCACTGCCTCTCCCCGGGCACTAGGACCCCAGAAAAGAGCAAAGCGCAGCACTTACCCAAAGCTCTCAGCTCGGGCGCTTCCTCTCCTCTCAGTATCCCGGCAGCACCGTCAAGACTAGCATCACGCACGCAGCACTTTGCCAAATTCAAAGGAGAAAAGGGGGAGGGGGTGAGGAGGAGGAGGAAGAGGACGAGAAGGGGGAGAGGAGCCGGTGGAGAGATAGAGGATGAAGGGAAATGCAGGAGATTGGGAAGGGAGGATGGGGGGGCAAGGGAAAAAATACAGCAAGTGTTACAACTTCCTTTCCTTCCCAACACCCCTGCTTGCAGCCTGCGAGGGACGGAGAGAGGGGAGGGAAGGAAACACTGAGCACCAATGAGTTCACTTTCTTTTTCTCCTCCGCACTCTCCCCTCTCTTTCCCCTCCTCCCCAACCCTACTCTCCAGCCCTCTCTAACCTCCACCTCTTCTAATGGGGCGGGTAGGCAGTTTGCTCTTCTCTCCTTGAAAAAGGGAGGAAGGAGAAGGAGGAGGAGGAGGAGGGAGAGGGGAGGTGAGGGAAACCAAGCTGGTGGGACTGAGAGCAGCATCCAGGACCTTAGTTGTGTGACAGGGGAAGCTCCGAAGGGAGCAGCAGTGCAGCGGCTCGAGCCGCTGGGCCGGATACACACGCGCACACACGCGCACATGTGTGTGATGGAGGGGGAAGAGAGAGAGAGAGAGAGAAAGAGAGAGAGAGAGAGAGAGAGAGAGAGAGAGAGAGAGAGAGAGAGAGAGAGAGAGAGAGAGAGAGAGAGAGAGGGAGAGAGAGAGAGAGAGAGAGAGAGAGAGAGAGAGAGAGAGAGAGAGAGAGAGAGAGAGGGAGAGAGAGAGAGGGAGGAGGGAGAGAGAGAGAGAGAGAGAGAGAGAGAGGCAGAGAAAGAAGCCGAGAGGAGCCTACCATGCGCTTCCCCCGTGCAAACCGAGGGAGAACCCAATCACAGGGCCATCCGGACCGAGCTGTGATCATTTATAATCCTTGACTGAACCTCTCCACCATTTGTCAAGATGACAGGTACTTTATTTCTTCTTCTTTTATTATTATTATTATTATTTTTTTAAAAAAAGATCCTCTTTTTACTGCCTTTTTCTGTCAAATGAGATTTGCTGGACTGAACCACGTTTGCCTTGGCTCCCTCCCTCCCTTCTGTGTTGGTTAATGTAAAGCACCGAGGCTCCCATGCTGTGACCAATCAGTGCATCTACTACTATTGCAATGATTTAGGGGTCATCCATGAATAACACTCCACAGTGATGAATGGCTCTCTGCAGCTTTCTGCCCTGATGAGGATGTCTGCACGCTACTGATTGCAAACACTAATGAACTTACAGCTCCATTAGATATTCTGTTACCAACAATGTGAGAGGGGGCGTTTGTGTGTTTTGTGGGGGGCCGAGGAGGGGAGTTCGGGGTGGTGGTGCTGGTAGTAATTGCATTTGGCAAGTGGAAACACTTCGCCGTATAATCAAACCCCTACTCTTTCTGGGGGGAAAATACTTTTCTTGATGCTCCGTAGGGTAAGCACATTAGGTCAGCTGAGTCACCAGAGAAAGTAGGAGTCTTAAAACGCTGCCTGGAGGATTGCTTCTAAGTCAGAAGGGTATAATTAAGGCTTCACACCCCTGGTGGGCAGACCCAGCCTTACAGTAGCTCAGGGGGAGAAAAAAAAAATGACCAGCGGTTGTTAAAGCCTGCTGTCCAAAACTCGATGAGGAGAAATACACCTTTTGGCCAGCCGGGGGTAGGGTGTATCTGTGTGTGTACGGGGGTGGAGGTGGTGGGGGCGTTTTCTGCGAGCTAATAAGTGAAAAACTCAAAATCCTTGAGCTGGGCAGGATGACAGAACAAGTGGTCACCGCTGCCTGCCGACTGGATCGTTTGGTAAACGCAAAGCTGGAACATCACGTCAAAAGAAACCATAACCAAGGCCAATTTTATTGAATGAACACCTGAACACCTCAGATTTCGAATAAAACCACCAAACGTTGTCACTGAAAGTTGGACCGGGGTGCATTTTGTTTCCTGTTCTCTGTATCACAGTGTCTACAGGTTCACGTTTTGGCCCCCTTAGTGGGGTGGGTATGGGACCAGCCAAACACTTTTCTTTCCCTTTTCTCCCCTCCTCTCCCCTTCCTGCAGACTGCTCATTTGAGGACGTGTCCAAACTGTCTCAAGTTCACACCGTCTGCTAGTTTTGAACACCGAGTCACTGTTACTATGTGGAACGGTTCGCTGGTTTCCCCCGATTCCAACATCTGTCACCTTTTCGGTTCAGTGACGAGGGGCTTGGCGGCCTCTCCAGGCTAGGGTGAGTGAGAGTGTGTGTGCGCGCACCCACGTGTACAAATGCCAAGTGTCTCCTAGGGGTGAGCCCCGGGGAAAGCAGTGAACCGAGGCTCCTCGGGAGCGCAGAGGTCCAGGGATAGCTCCCTGCCCATCGGGCGCCACCCAACTCCCCTAGAGCACCCCGAGCACCCTTGTTTGTGTTCCCGGACTACTCTGAAGCCAGGCGGGAGCCAGTCGGGGGAGTTCGAGGATTGCCTGGGCATCTCTCTTTTCCTCTCCCAGCTCTTGCTTACAGGCTTGCCTGCATTCTGGTGATCCGAAAGACTGGCCTAGGGCTGACTCAGAAGAGGAGGAGGAAAACTTCGATGGCAGGAGTGAATGATGAGGGGTAACGTCTCGAGAACTGTGCAGGGTCCTAGGGGCGTGAGGATGATCCCTCACCCCCACCAAGACCCCTCCCCATTCCTCAAAATGAGAACAATTCCACTGAAAACTTTGGAGAAACTAGCAGAATCTCCAGCTCTCCCTTTGGTGCCCAGACACCAAAATGCCTTGTGCTCCAAAACTTTATTTAGAGCGTAATAAAGGGACTAAAATATTGGTAATGGCCGAACTTGATCCACCTAAAGTGGGGGGAGTTCATTTCCATGTCACTGACGCAAAGAAGCAAAGACATTTCTGCAAGGGTATGGGGAGTGGGGAACAAAACAGTAATAATAATACTAGCTTTCTATCACTCTCTTATCTGTCTTTCTATGTCTCTGTCTCTCCATTTCTCAATCTTTGTCCTTTCTCTATCTTTATCTGTCTCTATCACTTTCTCCCTCTCTCTCCCTCCATCTGTCTGCTTTTCTGTCTCTCTCCCCTCCTCTCCTTCCTTCACTCTTTCCTTCATCCCCCAGCACCGTAAAATTGAGAAGTTATTTTTTTTTTTTGGAGAGGGGAGGAATCCTAACTACCGTGCAATCACTTTCCTCATCTTTAGAAATATTAGCTAAAAGAGTAGCACATCATTATCAATTGACAGAGTCAACATTCACTTGCCTTGTTAACACATATGATCTTAAACAATGATCTAACGAATCACTTTATGTGGCTCAGTTTAAATGTGAGCAAAATGGTGAAAGTCTTTTTTTTCAGCTTTAAGACCTCCAAAAAAATTTTATTTTTTTTTCTTTTAAGCATCAGATCTTTGCCTTAATGACCTTTTTTTTGGAAGGGGGAAAATGATACACTTAATATATTGTCCACAAAATTATAGTTTTCCCTAAGATTCTCATAATGATAAGGAAATAAGGTGAGTACAGCTTCTGAAGGAGTATCAGCTGACCTACTATATGACAAGCATAGTATTAGGTGCTGTTGATAAAAAGACAAAAGAGAAATAGTTCCTGTTCTCAAGCAGCTTACATTCTAGGGTAAGTACACATATAGGTATAGAGAGAGAGTAAAAATTGGCAGAACCAGTGTGGTCTCCACTTTCTATTTTGTGCTGGAATCTCCCCCCACCAGCCCCTTTTTGGTATTACCCACAGGATAGATGATTCTGAAAATGGATTTAAACTACAAAACAATGATTTAGAAGTAACCTCAGAGATTATCTAGTCCTAAATCCACCATGTTACATCTTCAAAGTGTTCAGTTTGTAAAAGGCAACATTATTGTTGAGCAGATAAAAATTAAGGGAAACCCTAGAACTCCCTAATATTGCCCTAAGCTTTCTATTCCAATCTTGTTGAATACTTTTATGTTCATTGTAGTACATCCTCAGGCAGGTAAAAGCTACTCTATCCATACAGGCATCTTTCCCTACTCAGCAGTCTGAGTTAGAAGTGTGATCTTTACAAAGAAGTTTTTACCATCTTAGACCATCAGGAAAAGCTTAAGTTGTGCAGTGCCAAACTGTATGACATGTTTCCTCTTTCCAAATTAATCCCTGGAAAGCAAGAAGGCATCTCGCTCTGTGACCATCATGGCTTTTTGCCTCTCTGTGATGCTATGGAAGAAAGGGGGGATGCGTCCTTACACAGCGAATTGCACCACAATAAAACCCAGAGCAGGAGGTAAAATACAAGCCATAGCTATGTGCTTCTCCATCCTCTGTTCGTTCACAACAAACTATTCCCCATGTGTACTTTTGAGTTAGCATTTTTACACAGCTGGTCTTATAATCTGTAATGTACAAAGCTGGCAGGCTCTCTCTCTCTCTCCTTTCCTCCTCCCCCTTTCTCCTTCCCTCTTTCTCTCTTCCTTTCCCTCCCTCTCTCTTTCCCTCACTTTCTGTCTTTGTCTCCCTCTCTGTCTCTCTCATCCCCACTTCCCTAGGGGTCTACCTTGTCACAAAATGCTCAGCCTTCTTAAAAGGAAAATATAGCCCAGTTGCTTCCCAGCTTTTCAGGGCCTTCCCAGTGTTGTCCCTGCTAAGGGAATGGTTCCTAGCTTCCAATTTCACTTTGGGAGGTAAACTAAAATGTACTTTCTTCTTGCAAGAAAAAGAAGTATTTGTGCTGAAATTGGGGGTGGGGTGGGGAGCAGGCAGCGGCAGGGCTCTTGGTGTTCCTGCTGCTGCCAGGTCAACCATCACACCTATTCTGCTAGTAATAAATTGGAATGGCTAGTAAATCTTGTGTGAGTTTCTGCACCAGCCTAAAAGAGAAAGTCCCCATTCCAATTAGAGTCACGTTTTCCTTTTCTTTTTCTTTTCCTCTTCCAAATCCCTGAACAGGATTGGCCTGGGACTGAGTTAACAGCTTGCTTCCTGCTCCCCTCAGAAAACACTGGGGCTACACGGTCTGTCACCTCGCAGCCTGACTTTCTGTGCATGGTTTGCATGTCAGAGCACTCCTGCAGGTCACCCAGGTAGCAGATCCTCAGAGGAATCCAGCAGACAACCTCCCGACTTCCTAAGTATCCTTTCCCATCATTACATCTGCTATAGCTAGCTGGAGTGCCTCTCTGGTTTAGCTGGGTAAGTGTCAGACACTGCAGCCAGTGCACCATTTCCATTGCCTTGTCTCACAGACTATGACCAGCCTGCCAGTTAGGTTCCAGAGAGTGCTGGCAAGTGTGGACCAGGGATAGTATTGGGACAAAGCCAGACTGAGTCCTTTCCCGCCAGCCCCCAAAAGAAAAGACTCAGTGAAGCCAGAAATACATACCTCTGTGTAACACCCACGATGATGGGAACCACTGAGAGATGGGGCAACTTGCCAAAAAAGAGATTAGAGATCTGTGGTAGCTGGGGATGTTCCCAACCAAGTTTGAGGCACTAGTCAATGTTGCAGTTAAAAAGTCCCTCCTCAAGAAGCAAGGCACAGATATGGAAAAATGTGAACAACCAGAATACATTGGAATGGAAATCTCTCCCATAAAGCCCTCACACATTGCTTCAGTTTACTGTCAGTGTTTATTTTTTTTTTCGATGCCAAAAATAAGTCAAGTTATTTTCTTTGGACGTTGAATTGTTGCAAAACTGTAAAACAAATATTCTAATTTGATCGCTGACAAAGTCATAAAATTAAACGGTTGTTTGTAGTGGGAAATATGTCCTAATTACTTTAATTAAAGCAAGATTGGACCCTCAAACATTCATTTAGGAGCCACAAAATGTACTGCCTATCATACAAATCAACCTTTAAACGGGGTCATGCCTTTCCACGACATTAGTTTGTGTTCCACTGCATAAACCCCGACTACACGTGAGCCTGACCTTTGGTGAAAATTATGTACCCCAGCTCAGCATAACTACTGACATGATTTGCTAGAATTTTAGGAAAAAAAACCTTTAAAGTCCGCAAAGGATTTTGAATACAAAGGGATCTTTTCACTTCTTGCTACTACTTAAACTTGCTGCTACTGATTGAGGCGAATTTCTGGGTTTAGAAACCACCACATTATCTTCTCCTAATCATGTGACACTCATAATTAGTCCATTATATGGAGTACCTTTAAAGTGTGGCATCTGCTCTACCAACAGGATTTAGTAAGAAGTTTGCTGAAGGCTTAACCTGTTTGTTGTTGGCAAGGATTTGCAAACTTGAACTGGGACAAAATTTTCTAGCAATATAGTTTTAGAGAGCTAACCACAAGCCCTCCACATAGAGAACCTTCAGTTTGTCAGGGCACAATCTACGATCTGTCTCATAGTCACAAATGCCACTTGCCAGGCAGACATGAAATTTTTGCGCAGAATAAGATTTTAATTATGCTCAGTTATTTTTGGCTGTCTTTTCAAGGAAAAAAATTATTGTAAATAAGGCTTATATTAATAAACTTATTAAACTTTAAAAAAAATTTGCCTCTCCCCTTCTCCAGATATACTCATCCCTACAATTTTTGATTGGAATATTTGAAAAATTTTAAACATCATTACAAGCCTAGATAACTATTTTGTTACCTATTTTAACTTACTTGAATTTCCCTATAAATATTATTTGAAAAACACAAACAAAAATATAAAACTAGTGGGAAAAGATAAAAAAAAGTTTAGGAAACAAAAATCAACAAAACGTACTACAGTTAAAGTTTGAAAAATATGCCACTAATTCAAAATTTGGAGAAAGTTGCTATTAAATCGACACATTCAGATGCTAATTACTTCTTACATGAAATGCATAAAACTTTTTATTAAAAGAATTGGGGTTACCCAAATTTTCTTTCAAGTTTTGTTGATAAAAATTGGAAGGCTCAAGAAGTCTGGGTTTTTTTTTTTAACTTCTCAAAGACGAGAGTTCAGCTGGTATTGGGGAAAACAATCTCTGTTTGTTCCTCTCTGCTCAGGAGGACTGTTTCTAATTGATCTGGCATGGAATTTAGTTGGAGATGTGTATGTTGCAACCTAAGCACAGTCTCTGTATGCTTTGTAAAGTGATAACCATATGGGCCTTATTTGAAACATTTGAGGATTTTAGCCATTAACCTGAGTTAAACTGAGCCATAAATTGAACTCCAATGTATATGTCCCGACAAATTCATCATCATTTTGAATAAGTTGCATCCATACTCCTCCTCTTGGATTAATAAAGATGATGGTTGCATATGGCATGTGGAATGACTGTGATAAAGGACTGTAATCTACCATTTTGTACTGTTTAAATGTAAATTGTTCATATTACACAAGCATTTTCTGTTGTTAGCACTTTCAATAAAATGGAAATGCTTAAAAATGACCTGGGTAAAGAAAAGGCTATATTGTCAAACCTATTTCCTCTTATACTATTTTCCAGTGCACTTTGCTATCATCATGAAGATTTAATTAAGCAAGCTCAGCCAGGCTAAAAGCAAAGCTGTTTGAAGCTGCTACTTATAGAAAAGTATTCAGGACTTATAGAAAATAATTTATTTATTCTTCTTCATTTAGGGATATGAGCTGTTGCTGAAGGATTTTTTTTAAGCCCATGACAGAGTTCTAGAGATTCTTTCCTCATTTCTGAATATCAATTTTATAGCTGCACTTCGTTACAGTTTAATAGTGCTAAGTTATGGATGCTGATGGTCCTTCCTGTACAGCCTTAAATTGCCTTGAAAAAGATACAGTTTCTTTAATTAAAAAAGCTGCACTGAACTAATCCCTCTAGCTGAAAAAAAGAAAAAGTTTTAAGCAATCTCTTTCTGCTCTGGGAGAGAAAAGCAGACAATACCATAACAGATCAGAAACATAAGCTATAGTGTGCAGCCAGGAGCTCAGCAGGGAACTGAATACTGCTCCGACTGTGTCATTTTTTAATCCCCCATCCCAGTTTTCCCCGTCTGACCTCATGCTGAGATGAAGTTATCACAGAAGACAGCTTTACTCTCACCAATGAATCCAACCCTGGGTCTGTATTATCCTCCGCAGATCAAAACACCGCTTTCATCAAATAGCATTATCTGCATAAAAGGCATGCAATTGCCTGATAATTTCACCCAAACTATGCTATTCATTTAAAGGACAAGAAGAGAAATGTAATTCATTCCTTTTTTTGGGGGGGGGGAGGGGACTAGAGAAGCTAACTTATACATCGCTCATGGGAACTTTTCTGTTTTTAACAGAAGATCTCAAGAAGGGGTCCATTTAAAAGTCCCCCAACTCCTGGGCATTAAGATTAATTGTTAGAACACCTCGGCACAGTTTGAGTGACAAAAGTGTAAGCTGTGCAGAAAACTGGCAGTGAGAAATCCCAAAGCTTGCTGATGCAATTAGCTATGCTTCTATGAACCCCAATAATAACATCATATCTGGTAAAATTTGAGGAGCATAAAAATTAACCAGAGTTTATTTTAATGTTGCATGGACCATTGTTCTTATTGGAAGATATTTCAGCCTATTTCAAAGAATTCACATCGTTAATGTTTTTATACAGGAAGACAAAGACATGCAAATTCTGAGCATGTGTTTAGAACATCAATATCTAGGAATGTGTAAGGAGTTAAGTAAGATTTAGAACTTCCTTCAGCTTTTTTCCATTTTAGTTTGGAAAATATTATTCACATATGCATTGTGCTTTGTTAGACTTCATAATGCACTTCTTTTATAATGGACCAGAGCTCCTTATTGAATGACATCACTTGTTTTGCTCAAGGTATACTAGTTGGTTAGAGCAATCAGACCAAGCTCTTTATATGAAGTAAATGGCATCACCAAGGAGTATTAAAACTCCCATGAGGCTGTGGGTGACCTGTTACATGCATGTTAATATCCTTATAATATGTGGTACTCATAATTTTAATGAGTGAGTTTGGAATTGGAAGCCTTTTGCTAGGCCCTTTCAAATTTGACTACGTAGGCTTACCCTGCCTTACCTAGCTTAATCTCAGCTTTCCACTCCTTGATAGGGGTACTCAGGCATAAAATGTGTAGGACCAATGACAAGGATGATCAAAACCAATATTAAAACATAGAAATGCTTCAAATAGGGGCATAGGAATGCCCCTGTGTGTTAGAAAGGCAGGTGAAGAAATATGTCTTTTCCCTGGAAAGATACCGGTTTTATTGTAAAACCATTGTCAACACTATTATTTGTCATCTTTGACATTTTAATTACATTTATGTATTTTATAAAATCTTTAATGTAATTAACACTTTTCATACCGTTTTTCTGGCAATAAGAAACAAAAATGTGAAGTGCCGGGTGGTGACATCCTATGCTGATGTGTTAGCTGAATAAAAGTAAAATGTGATTTTATTTTTTCCAAAATTTTGCTTCATGACATAAAAATTATCTTAAATTTAATGTGATTAAGCATTAAACTGTGGTATTTCCTTGAATTTGATGAAAGGACTATTTTCATGTCAAACTACATTACAAGAACTAGCTTTCAAAATGAACTGTTTAAAATCCCAAATCATTAACAGATCATTTATGGTTCAGTCTCACAGTCTGAGTTGTTTTTTTTTTTGTCCTATCAAATTTACACTGAAGTTATTTAAGCAAAGAGGTGGGGTTTGCATTCTTCTAACATGTGTGTCAGTGATTTTAGAGGAATCACATTTATTTCTGAAGGAGCCAGGGTCAGGAATATTTTTTTTTATCATTTTACTAAAATAGCTGTGATATTTTCAATATGAAATCAGTTAAATCTATTTTTATAAATAAAATTATTTCACATATTGTTTTCTCATATTAAGGTGCGTGATGGCCTGTACCCATTTTAAAGATGGACAACAACTCACAACTCTAGATGCTAGAAATCAAAGTTGGGATTTGGGTCCTTAGATTTGAAATTTTTCCCCCAAGGCCTCTGGATAATGAAAGATTTTTCCATTGGAAGAAAAATGCATCACTCACAGACCTGAATTCCAGATGCAGGCCATGGCAAAACCACATTGTTCTTCTGACTCTGTTCCTTGGAGGCAAAAGGCATGATCTTATGGTTCAGGGAACCAGAATTTCTGAAACCAGTAGTAATATAACTTTTTCACCTTCTACAAAGTGTTGCTTCCCATTCAAAATGTGACAAGGAGTTCCTGGAAACTTTTCAGACCTGTAGTAAAGGCAATTTCTCTACAATGAAATTATGCTGAAAAAGAGCTCTCAGATTTGCTTTATAGTAAAGTGACACAGGTGTTGAGGGTTTCAACAGTCATGGGGGGTCATGATAAATTTAGAGGTCAAAGGTACAGAGAGCTGAAGACAAAGCAGTAACTAGGGTGGATTAATCAGAGTTTTGTCCCAGGGTACCAACATTTAAAGGGTACTTGGTGCCCTTGAACGAGGATGCTACAGCCAGACTTTAGATTAGCTCCTTTCTGGGTCTGGCTACTCTGTTTAGCCTGTCTCTAACCCCTCCCCTCCCCCCAAAGCAGGGGTCTTTCTAACAGCAGCTTACAGTTGTTCGCAGGGTAGAGAGCCTCGCACCACAGATGCTGCCTCAAAGTTGGCTTCATGCTGTTTGTTTGTCCCGGTTGCATATTATATCAGTTGCCCCCGACACAAAAATTCAACAAGTGCTAGTTGAGCTGTGGTTGAAGGACTAAAGTTTCTCAGTATTAACTCTCATATTTTGGTCTTTACCATGAATACTTGGTACTGAGTTTAATTTCATTCATAAAAGGGGACCAAGAAAGTTGGAAGAGTCCTGGAGAAAGGCTGATCGATTCTTATCAGACAGACCACTGGTCCAGGTTCTCTTTCTATTCTCATCTCTGTTCCTGCCCATTCTTAGTACCCTCCTCCTTGTCTTCATAGGAGAAATGCTTTTGTGACCATTAAATTGCCAAGGAGAAATCCAGCACTTTTAATCCACAAAGTCTATGAAAAGCCAGGATGGAACTTCCTTTCTATCCTTGGATAAGATAACTATGGGGAGAAAAAGTAGGCCAGGAGGAGATTATGAGCTACGAGTTCATAAGGAGGGAGGAAATTGGTAAAGAGTGAATCTCAGCCTGGGGAAAGGGAAGGGCAACTAGGGAGGAAATAAATGGAAGAGAGACCACATTTCAGAACCTAGAGTAGAAGGGGTACAAGTTTATCTCAAAGCAACATATCTGCTTAAAAGTATGGGGGCTCTGGCTTCGCTTCAAGTGTTACTGGGAGACTTTTAACTCCACTGTTAGTTTAAAAAAAAAAGAATTTATTTTCTAGTGTTGTATCTTTGTTTTTACAATATTTTAAAAATCTTATGGCAGAAAACAATCATGCCTATTTCTAAAACAAAAACAAAAACCCTCAAAAGAATCAGTTAAGATTTAAATATTTGTGTAGAAGAGATTTCTTTCAGGTGTTTAAATTTCTTGTAACTAAAAAAAAATCTTATTTTTTTAAAAAATAAAGTTGTTGATTTACTTGTAAAAGTAACATATTTCCATGTAAGAAAGAAACTCATTATCACAATATGAAAAAAATGAGAATATCTGTCCAAAGACATTCCATGAGATAATTCAGTGAAACTACAAATTAAGACTTTGAGTCATTTGGTCTACAGGCAACAAAATCAACAATAAAAATCATGAACTTAGATAACTTTTTTTAACCAACAAAAGGCATGTATAGCTAAAGGATTAAATACTAAATATTAAATATTGACAATTGGATCCCAGTATTCAACTAAGATGTGAGCTGGAGTGCTTTTAGAAATTTATTATATTTTTTAGTATTAGAGAAAATTTTAAAAATATTCACATTTGTGAATGACATTTTGCATTTTTTATTCTCTGTAATTAAAGGATGTGGTGAATGAGAAGGAAGGTAAATTGAGTGTAATTGCCTTGTTTAACTTTGACTAAAATTGTAGAATGAACATATAAAAATACTGTGTTTAATTTATAAAATAGATGGACATTTGCAGGTCAGCTCCCTAAACTCTTCATAAGATGGGTTTCAGTGATATTGGTCAGGCTGCAAGCCCTTACATTTTTAACATAAAAGATTATCACTGCACTGACATCCCCATCATCATTTTCATGAAGCTACCTGCCTCTGTAGAATATTATTATGAACAAAATAACTACACTTATATGTGGGATCCCCATTTTCATTTCTTAACTAATTTTATGTCCTGCTTGTAATGAAAAGAAATAATTCAAACATGTTATCTTTGATCTTATAATAATGTTCTTTAGCAGAATTATACTAATAATAAAACCTGATTCACTCATAATTTATTTTCCATACTGTATATACAAAAAAGCACAATAAGACTGAATTTAGGAAAATGAAACAATAATAAGTCTTTTTAAAGTTGAATAGGA